GCAGCCGTGATTAGCAGAACAAGAAAAACAGTAATGATTTAGTAAGCTATTTTGACATCTTGTTTCTGGTCACAGTGTCATTAGAGGGCCATAAATGCGTGTTCCCCCCAGAACCTCCTCCTGCAGAAACAGGAAAATGCCACAATGTCGCCTGGCATGAAGCCATGTCGGTTAGTTCCTCTGGATTTATGGAAGCTGAGGAAAACTACAACGTTTTCAAAGTGGGATTTTAACCCGATCTGACTGCCTGTTGGCACAAGACCTGAACTGTTCTGATGGGAGTTGATGGGAATGGAGAGGTGCAGTTTGACCACATTTTTTCACCTGGAGAAATAAAGAAAAGACGAATCAGAAACCACATTACGTGCAAAGCATCGGATACTGTCATCAACTCGCGTCAGGCAGACGAGACGTGACATTTTTCCGTCTCAGATGTGCCTGTTTGTGAGGTCGCGATGCCACTGACAGCTGATCTCCTCAAACTTTCCCAAAGCTGAAACCGAATCCGACTGGAAGCAGCCGTGCAGTCCGCTTCGCTGCAGTAATGTGGTAATCATCAGCCCCGTTTTTCTGGTCTTGACCCAAACGTGAAGGAGCCAGGTTTATTTCGCTGGTGCCGTGCGACATTACCCTCCCTCTTTTTTCCTCCTTTCACTCAAAGAATCGTTTCTGATTCTTTCAGTCGCTCCTGCCTCTCCTTTCGTCAGTCTCTCCCTCTCATTTATTCCTTGTGGTAACTGTCGGCGCTCAGGGAGTTGCGGTACAGAGGATCTATAGCAGCTCTGTTGACTTTGGCCCCGAGCAGACAGAAAGCCGAGCCTTTAATTTGAGTGGTTTCAATATCTGTCCCCTTAATAAAACAAATATCTTTGTTTGGAGAGAAAGAAATAACCCCCCCAATTACCATGGAGTGAGGAACTACTGGATGCGAGTCTTTAAACCGACCCGGCTTTGAGATTCAGAATAAGAAAATGCAACGTGCAAATCAGTGATCGGGTGTCAAACCGCACAGATCGGAGCGCGTTGCTCACCGAAACCCCGGGTTTGAAACGTTCCTGTGAATTCCTTCCACATCAGGCCAGTGACATCCATCAGCCTCAGTTAGAAAATACTTTACTGTGCATTTCTGACAAGTAAGAATGAAGAAATCCTCTGTTTGTTGCCAGAGAGAGCAGATCTGGAGACCCATGATTAGGCCTGAAACGATTAATCGGATTGGTCAAGATTATCACGATTAATCGTGATTAATCAGACTGTTCAAGAGTAATCAGACAGATCGAGATTAACTCAATTAATCGTGACTAATCGGATTGTTATTGATTAAGCCGATTAATCATGGCAATCCGATTGATCAAGATTAATTGTGATTAATCAGACTGATCATGTGTAATCAGATTAATCGTGATAAGTCATTTTTTTAAAATAATTGTAATTCTATTTTGTAATTGATCAATCATTAACTGACGTATACAGGTTCAAAAACCACCATTTGCTGAAAAAACAGTTTTCAGAGTTGTAATAAAGTCAAAACTGTACAAAATATATATAAATTTTAGCATTTAAAACGGACTGATTGATTCTTTTGTTCGCATCTTATTATGTATTTCTAATATTGTATGAAAAACTGGTTACATTTGTCTTGTCCAATGAATCGTCAGAATAATTAACTACTAAAACAATCGTTAGTTGCAGCTGTAAACATGATACAGAGTTGTGATAAAACAGTGTGTACGCTTCCTTTGAAGAAGTGCTTCATATTTTCCATTGTTACAACCACAAACCTCAGGAATTTATGTCACAAACACAATTTAGCACATATTTGTGAGATAGAAGGAAAACGGAAGACGGTTTTCAAAAAATGTTTCACAGAGAAACATCAGAAACCAGTGGTGTCGTTTTAGCCTGCTTTACTTTGACGCCACAAAAAGAATAAAATCATATTTAGGTAAGATGTAAATTAAGTATGGATCCAGATGCCACCAGGTTGTCATGGCAACATGTGAATCAGCTGAACGGGTGTAAATACTTTTGTAAGGGGCTGTAGAGTAATGGGAACAGAACAAGACATTAAATGAATGAATGAATGAATGAATGAATGAATGAATGAATGAATGAATGAATGAATGAATGAATGAATGAATGAATGAATGAACGTGTTAAAGGATGAGTCTGTTACCTACATGCAGGCTGGAACTAGAGGTCGAGAGGTTAATGATAGCCGAACTGGCTCCATCTGGAAACTGCAGGAAATCATGCAAAAGCACAGAAAACACACAGGAAACACAAACTGTCAGGTTAGACGGTTAGAGCTGCACACAAGCTGACCTTCAGAGCCTTTAACAACAGCGCTACACGACAACAGTGAGAACAGGTTTCCAAGCCAACGAGCCAAATGGAACAACAGAAATGTTTTTAAGCTACATGTTGATAGAAAGTTGATAAAAGTGAGTCTGGATCAGTTAAAATCTGCTTTTATGTTTCTTTCAACAGCTTGTTTAGGATAGGTCTGTGGTCTTTACAAAACCTGTTCGTTACACATTTTACACAAAATCATTCGTGGATAACAAGATTTTAGTCTGATCAGTTGTGTTTTAGGGCGTCCTGTCACTTTAAATGCAAGTATTCTCAATGTTCACACACACATAAAAATGGCTGCAAACAAGAGGCACAATTAAACAACCGCACATCTTTGAAAAGCAGAAGTGGAGCCTCCTGCACAACCAACAAGAATCCAGCAAGTGGTTTCTGGATGGTAAGTCAACAATAAAACACTTGTTTTTTTTCCAGCAGCCATTGTACAGCGCATAAAACCAGATGACCAAATGTTCTGGAGCTCTGCTTGGGTTGCTACGTAACGGCACTGGGCTTCGCTGACGTTGCTAGGTAACAGCAGAGCGCCTGTCGAGGAACGTTTCAAAAGGCTCCTTTTTCATACGTCAAAAAAACATGAACTTATTGCCAAAAAATGGTGCAGTTGGAATTTTTTTTCTGTTCAAATTAGTTTGTTTATGTTTTACTGATTTTGTTGTGTTGTTAGGCTGGATGTTGCAGTTTTTTTGTTTTTAATTTTTATTTTTGAACATGCAAGTTAAGTTATCTGTTAGATACTTAATTTACTTTGTAGTGAGAATGGAGAGTAATTTTTTTTCTATTGTTTGTAGTTTTCACCTGTTAAAGTGACGCTTTATGCAAACCAAACCAATCCAAACCAACAGAAGACACACTGCGTATCCAACCACTCTATAATGACTCCAACAGGTGATAAATTAACAAAACACCAGGTAGAAAAATGCTAAACGTTGCAAATTCTTGCCCCTGTTTGCTTTTTCCGTGCAGATTAAAAACAATGCTGCTTATTATTGAGGTTGCTGACCAGCTGCTAGACTTCACAGCTGTTTCCAAATTACAGATTTCTAAATCCTCAAACATGAGGAACATTCAGCAGGAACCGCAGATTTATCGTCTGGTTTGGTTGCTCTCATTGTGTCCGCTCCGCTGTTTTGATGTCGGGGCGCTTTAATTGGACGAGGTCGTTAATGTCAGGGAGTGTACACTGATTTCGACACCCTGCTTAGACTCCGTGAACCCTCAGAGTGATTTATGCTTCTTAGCTCACGCTGCGCATTTCTGGACCTCCCATGTTGGCACACATTAAAACCTGCTACTCCCTCTCCGACGCAATGAGACAAATGTAATTGAAGAGGATGGAAAATGTGAGGTTTGAGGCGTGAAAGAGGTCAGTGTTGAAACGCTCCCCGCAATCCTGAGAGCTATTTCAGCATAAAGGCAAAGATTTAACGCCCAGGAAATGAAGCTGAGTTCAGGCAAAGTGTCCTGATGTGAAGGAGAAATATGTGGAGCAGGATTGGACAGAAAGGAGAAGAAACAACCAGAGAGCTCTGAGAGGTGAAGAAGAGGCTGATAAGACTGCAACATGCAACAGAAATGATAATAAAGTTCATAAGACATAGAAACTGAAACTGCTGAAATGTGTGCCTGGGAAAAAAAAACAAACACAAAACATTTTATGCAGCAATAAGACAAAGAAAGAAGAGATTAGGAATGAAATGGAGATTGGGAAGCAGGACTGATAATCGTCTGAAGGAGCAAATTTAGAAAAGTGTAACTGGAAGCAGAGATGAAGGAAGGAGGGATAAAACAAAAGCAGCTTAAACATAAAAACAAGAAAGGAGAGAAAGGAAAATAGTGAACTCAAGATGCATTCACACCATCCCAGTGCGCTTCAACTGAACTTTAGTTCATTTAAATAGAAAGTTCGGTTCATTTGGTGAAGTGTGAATGTGCAATCAAACCTAAAATATTAAATTTTGGTTCGGTTGAAGTGAACTCTGGGGCGGTTTGAATGCAGATGAGAACGCCAAGCCAACCAGAGGCCGCTTCAAAGGCAGGAAGTGGACTACACTGCAGGGGATTCTGGGTAAATGCAACCAAAACAAATGCACAGGTCTAGCACTAGAGGGAGAAATGGCTCATGGTCCTTTACCAAAGACAAAAGAGAAACCCTACAATTGTTAAAATCTGACGATATTCCATTTCTGTTTATATTTTGTGAAGAAGGAAGTTGTGCTCATGTCTTTCTCAGAGGATTTTGGTGCAGCGCCCCCACAGGCGAGGAGGGGAACAGCTTTTTTAATTAGTTTGGACCGTTTCAGACATCGCAGAGTGAAATCACACATCAGCAGCTGAAAATTTAACAAATGTTGTAACTTTGGACTCCAATCGAACAGAGTCTACCAGACTATCAGGCTAGGAGCAAAGTTTTGTCACTGAACTATTGAGACTTTTGCTAATTTCTGTTTCACTGCAAAAACATAGAATATTACCAAGTATTTTTTTGTCTAGTTTCTAATGCAAATATCTAATTTGTTTTAAGTAAATAATTCCTTAATGTTGATAAAAGGTACTGGTTCAACTGGCAGATTATTTCGCTTATAACATGGGAAAAATATCTTGTTATAAGTGAAGTAATCTGAAAGTGGAATATTAAGGATTCATTTAGTTAAAACAAGCTCGTATATTTTGCTGAAAAGTTACCTGTAAGTTAGTTTTGTCTTAATTAAAGTGTACTAAGATAATTTAACTAGAAACTATACAAAAATATGTGGTGATAGTCTGTGTTTTTGCAGGTAAAAGTAGTTTTAACGACAGATAAAATACCAGGTTTGATACCTCAGAGTCTGAAGTGAAGACAACTAAACAGAAACAAAGAACGTCTGATGTCAGTGTTTAACTCCGTTTATTGTTACTCCTTAAGGGTTCGGTTCTCAGATGCCATTTATGATGGTGATATTTGAATATATGGTGGCTCTGAGGGGACAAATTCAAAACGGGACCAAAAAAAAGTAATTAATTTGAATTCTTATTAAAGCTTCATTGTCGCTGTGTATTTTTATGAGGTTTTGATGGATTTTACAGACAAAATTAAACATCAAAAGCAGATTTTGGTGTGAGTTGTGTAAGCTCTTACTCCCTCCTCTGGTATATTACAGTGAAATGAAAATGCCACAAGAATGCTCCAAACATCCAACACATTTTTAATGTTCCTTATAAAAATCTCCAATATGTCCTGGTGTCTGTTTTTCCACAATTAAATTTATTTTATTTTTTTTTAACTGATGGAAGTGGAAAAATTGTGATAGAAACTCTAAAAAGGACAATTTTCAACAAGGCATGACCCTTAGAGAAGTTATTAATTTGATTGATATTGTAAATTTGTTGTATTTGTTGAAGAAAAGTGCAGCTAAATGATGAGTAAAGGCTTTTTTAGTGATGATTTCAGCTTGTTAGCAGGTTGGATTTACCTGGTCAGGAACAAGCGGCTCCTGATCATCAATGTCAACAAAGACTTCCCCAGAGGTCAACGTTGGCGTCTCGCCTTGATACAGAAACACAAATTGGGGACATTTTATCACAGATCTGATGTTCGTATTTGACCATAAGGAAGTTTTTCTCTTACGTCTCCATCCGTCCCCTTCCTCCTCCTCCTCTTCCTCTGCTCGCTCCTCCTCTTGTGTGCGTCGGTACTCCTCAAGCGATCGGATGGTGCACTGACCGACCACCGGCTTCCTCCCAAACTGACGGTTGTCAATGACTTTGATTATGATGGGTGGCATGTAGAGCTCCTCACGGGGAAGTCTCTGTTGACAAGGAACCAAGAAGAGACTTTAAATGTCTGCATTATAATTAAAAAGATAAGTTAGAAACAAAACACGATATCATCAGCATAAAGCTGATTTTATAGTAATTAGCAACGTCAGGGAAACAATGTTTGCTACAGGGGTTTAAATTGATAGTAGCGACCCACTAGAAGATTTTAGTTTCGATAGAGAGGAATTTGTAAGTGAGCAGAGGAGAAAATCTGAGCGCAAACACAAAAATTTGAGAGAGCACGAAGAATATTTGGAAGAGAGCAGACATTTTGAGAACAAAGAGATGAAATTATGCTTTCAAACTGAAAATGTGTGCTCTCGACAACTAGATAAGGTCAGGAAAGTGTTAATAAAAAATGGGGAGGGAGAGGGAAGTAGGTCAGCCATGCTAGCTTGACTTTGACAACTTAACATGTGGATGTGCTGTGGAATTCAATGTACTTCAGTTGAAAAATAAAAGAAAAAGTGACCTACACACCAACTTTCTGAGATCATCAGTAGAGCAGATGTTTAAATCAGCTAATCAATTACTGCAGTGATCAGACAATTATTTATGAATAATCTCAAAATAAACATCGAGAATAAAAACAAAAAACTGTAGACTGAATGTTAGCGCCGCTAAATTGGTACTTTATGAAGTATTTCAGTTTCGAGGGCCAGTTTGCCAACTTTGCAGCTGATTGTGTGCAGCCTGTGTTGTAATTGCATGTGTTACACTGTAAAAACACAAAATCTTACCAAGTATTTTTAGGTTTATATTCTAGTGTAAATATCTTACTCCACTTAAAATAACACAAAACTAACTTACAACTTTTCAGCAAGACATAGAATATTTTTTTAAGTCAACAATCCCTTATTATTGATGAAAAAGTGAAATTTGCCAATGAAATTTGTAGTTTTTCATCAATATTAGGAAGTGACTGACTTAAAACAAGCCCTATGTCTCTCTGGTAAGCTAGTTTTATCTTATTTCAAGATATTTGTCCAGACATTTGTCTAGAAACTAAACCAAAATACTTGGTAAGATTTTTGTGTTTTTGCAGTGTAGATGTCTGATGATCTTCCCTGTAGAAGTTACTCCTTTAAAAAGCCTCAGGGGCAACATTTTAAGTAAATACCTAAAAAAAAAAGAGTCAGTTAATGTAATTCTTTTGACCTTCTCTGGCTTTGAAGAGGCCTAAGTAGGTCCACTGATGCTAAAGAAACACATTAAATTGAAAGAGTTAGAGATGTGGTCTGACTCTTCAAAGAGTCGCATTTAAGGAAAATATGCATGTGGCGTTTTGCTCTGCCCCTGTGGCATAAGAAAGCACTTACGCAGTCAACTTTAAACCCTAATATTGTTAACAGTGAATGCTTGGACCGAGTTCTGGGGCTGAATTTAAGGCAGAAAAATGTGTGCATGTTTCCACTGTCCGGTTCAGGCTGTCATACGCCGGTGGTCAAACGCAGGGCCTTAATCTTGTTAACATTAAACAGCGTGAGCTGCGTCTGCTGAGGCTGAGGGGGAAAGAATATGTGATAATTTCCATACCCGAGTTTAAGCTGTCATAATAAAACACAGAGGGGATCAACTTTAGACTCTGATATTGTTAAACTCTTAAGAACATTTTGGAACAAAGTCTCTGAGTGAGGAGAAAGTAGGGATTAAATCTGGAGCCCGGATTTAAGTTTTGTTGATGTTTTACTAAATTATTGAAGCACATTTGTCACTATTAATTCAATTTATTATTATTCCTTTGTTCTGCAAAGAGTTTTAGTTTGCTATCTTTCCATAATGTTGGAAATTCATAAAAAACTACATCTTAATATGTGAGTGAATGATGAGCTATGTGATAATGAAATTTACAGAAAATATCAGAATATTTTTCAATTTTGAGAAATCTGAATCCTCGTTTTACACAAAGAAACAGAACATAGGAAGTTGGACTTTAGCTGATTAAAATTGTATTTTTATAAGTTTAATCATTTATTAACACTTTCCATCTGATATTATCGTCACTAAATTTATGCATGAATCATTTTAAAAACTTTCTCTCCGTATATCTGAGGCACTTCGATTCAAACATTTTAAAGGTTAAAATAACAACATTTGGAGTTTTAACTTGAATCAAACCATCACTAAAGGAAAATAACCAGAATACTGATGGAAACATGGGAAGTTATTTTTATATTTCCAAAATGTAAAAAAATAAATGTTTATAAATAAAATTAAAAACATAAAATGGAAAAATAATTAGGTGTTTGTACATCTCAATCCTAATCTGAAATTCTCTTTAAAATCTGGAATTGAAGTGTTTGTTTACCTGTATTAACCACAGCAGACACACCTCTCACAGATTATCTATTTATTATATTTGTGCACAGTAATTATGTTATTTGCTGATTTTCTGGCTAAGAACAAAATGAATCAGTCTAGAAATTCCAGAAATTATAAATGTGTGTATTCAAAGTTTCTGCTGTCGTCTCCTTTTATTAGCATTAATATTAAACCCTAAGTTTCAAATCTCTGTCTGGATTTTTTTGACTTATTTTAATTGTGCAAAGTTCTTTAAATATCCTGTGAGTAAATAATTATGCCCATTTCTCCATAACAAATGTAACTTTCATTAAAAAACTTTATCATCAGATGGCGCAAACCGTCACGGCTTTACAGTACCACAGAGCCGGCTTGTAAAAATGTGTTGTCATGGACACGTTCGGCTGAATAAAGTTTATTCAAATAAAAATTAATGTAAATGTTCAACATTAACTGAATGTGAATGTGAATCCAGAGTGAAACCAGCCCTACTTCGACTAACATTTATTTTTATTTAATTTTATTCCTGCTTCAAACTCTTGAATTTGTCTTTTGTTTATGTAGAAACAAGAACAAGTTACTGACTATTTTTCTTTTTGTTTCTTTGCTTCTTTCGTTCATCGGTCAAATCAGTGAAGATGAAACATTCTTTTTTTTTTTCTTTTTTTTTTACAAAACAAAATCCAAAAACATTCATAATTTGAGACTGAAGTCTGTTTTATCACAAGAATTTAGAGTTTATTTTTCATCTGCATCCAGTTTCAAACCATCTGGCAAGTATCTGCGCTTCCAGTAGAATCTGCGGCCTGCATTTATGTTGTATATTAATCTAGCGTACATGCTGGTGGCCACTGGAACGTCCTCCACTCTGCATCTGCAGAAGCCTCATGAAGTTAAAGCAGAGCTGGAAACATCTCAGGCTGCCGCTTTTACTTTTCTACTAAAACATCTGAACTTTCCATGGAAAAAGGGAGGGAAGCCTAGCGTCCTTCCCTCTGGTGCCATTATTGTGGCTTAGCTGATGAAGATAAATGACTGGAGCGAACCACATCACAGCAGAGGTCTCATTAGCCATGAAAGCAGTGGGCCTGGGCTCTGATTACACTCTGTGTTTGTGTATGGTTAGCTCTGTCCCCGTGCTCTCACCACATCAAGGATGAGCGTGTTGACGTCAAAGTTTGGCTTCTTCTTCACGCTGCGGATGACGCAGCTCTGCACCGCGCTGCCTCCACACTCCACCTGCAGGCTGGGAGACGTAACGCTGGACAGCTGGAAGCTCTTCAGGTTTCGAACGCCCCACGCTAAGATCTGACGCAGAGACGCAGGAAGAGAAGGAAGCGTTTATATTTGTACACAGACAAGTATCTACATAATCCAACGCTATTAGGTAATTAGAGAAGTAGTGGAGACTTTAGGAACAAAACACCAAATCTTGTTTCTAGCACAAATATATTATTACACTTGGAAAAAGACAAAACTTACTTAAAAGTGACTTACCAACAAGATATGGGGACTTGTTTTAACTAAATAATTCCTTAATTTTGATGAAAATGTACTAGTTCTATTGGCAGATTATTTCACTTACAACATGGGAAAATTGTCTTGTTAAAATTGTCTTGTTATCTAGAACTAGTAGTTTGATTACTTGATTAACTGTAACCTGGACACTATTAAAAGCCATTAGCTTGACTGTCAGCAGCTGTTAGCCTGATTCCAAATAGCAGTTATCTTAACTTTGATAAGCTGTAACCTTGGCGCTATTTAGTTAGTAGCTTCACTGTAAGTAGCAGTTAGCTTGACTTCAAGTAGCAGTTAACTGAGCAACTGGAACATGACGATGTTTAGCCCTTAGCCTGACACTAAGTAGTGTTTAGCTTAACTCTAAGTTGCTGTAATCTTAACACTATTTAGCAGCTAGCTTGACTCCAAGTAGTAGTTAGCTTTGAATAACTGTAAACACTATATAGCAGTTAGCCTGACTGTCAGAAGTTGTTAGCTTGACTCCAAGTAGCAGTTAACTTTGAGTAAGTGTAAACTTAATACTATATAGCAGTTAGCTTGACTGTCAGTAGCTGTTAGCCTGACTCTAAGAAGCAGTTGGCTTAAATCAGATTAGCTGTAACCTTGACACTATTTAGCTGTTAGCTAAACCAAGACTAGCTCGGCTAAGCTAACCGAGCTAGTCTTGACTGATTAGCTGTAAACTTGATGCTGATCTCTTTCTAACAATTTATCCCTGTTTTTGTATAAACTAACTGCTGTGGACCTCAGTTAAGATATTGATTGCTAAATGTTATTCCACATGGCCCCACATAATGCATAGTCTCTAAATTGCTTATTCTTGCTAATACTTCAACAACAAAAATAAGCATCTGTCTACAACTAAAAACATTAGCTTTGTAAACAAAATAAAAACATTTTGCTAATTGATTTGTGTTGTTGTACCTCGATGGCTGTTCTTTGCAGAACGGGTTTGATCCCCTGGGGAACCATGAAGACATTGGGTTCTCTCTGGGGGGGCGGATAGGGAAGGTCCGACTCGTCTGGCTGCCAGCGGGAACAGAGAACAGCAGTGGGTCAGAGACAGAACCCTGAGGTACATCACACAGCAGGTATGCTGCTTACAATGATGCAAATACTGCTGGGATTTTTCATTACTAACATGAAATGACAAAGTTTAGCTGAAGCATGGCAAACGTTAGGTTACCAACGCTCATGGTGGACATTTTAATTTAAAAAAAATCTATTTCTTTTCAAATAAATCTCTCAAAATATCTATTAAAATGGTCTGTGGAAGGCTAAAGACAACCTGTAATATGTGTTAATTTTGGGTTAATTTAAAAATATGAAACATAATCACATTTTCAGAAAAATTATTAACAAGAATTCACACATTTTGTCCTGAATGAATATTAAAGCAAATTCTTTAGGCTTCCATTTGCCACTGTAAATATATGGAGCAGCAAAACAAATTAGTAAAAGAAAAAACACAAGTTAGCAGAGGACAAAGCGCAAGCTAGCATGACTGCCTTTACAGCTGGGTTATCTGCAGATTTAAAGACAAAAAGCACAATGATGGGTTTGATGCTTCATGCATGCATTTTAAAATTATACCCATTGCTGCAGGTTTTCAGACAGGAATCCTGGAAACATCAACTGAGGGATCAAAAGTGAAGAAAAATAGAGAAAAAAATAATCTATATAAAGAAACAAATTTAAGACATTTTAAAGCCTTCATTTTACATGAATGTAAGCCTTTTTAAGACTTTAAGACTGGTATCACCACAGAAATGCACAAAAGACATTTGCATCTTTTATATAGTAGTAGTATCAAGCTTTCTGGCACAGAAGGAATGTAGCATCGTTTGGTTGACAGCAGAAATAACCAGTGGCAAAGACAAACCTCATCCAGCCAACAAGATAAATTTACACTTTAATCACAATAGATGCTAACAAGTTAGCTAGCTAAGAAGGGTATATTAAGAGGTAGGTAGCGGTAAATATTCCTGCCACAAAAAAGTTTTGTTGTTTTTAAGGCCAACTTACTATTTTTTTAGTGAATTTAAGACATTTTAAGGCCTTTAAAAAAATTACGGACTTTTAAGACTTTTTAAAGATGTCTTGAAAGTTGTCTTTTAAGACTGGACTTAAAATCCAGTCTTTTAAGTCCAGGACTATTCTCTTCTGTTATTTAAAGTCTTCTGAGCAAATTGTATCGTCTGATTTACTGTGTGGCTTTACCTCGTCCAGTACGTGGGTTGAACTGATGACATCTCCCTGCGTTTAGGAAAATGTTGGATTATAATGTAGAAACTTTTAAAAGAAAAATGGCAAATATTTAACTACAGTGTAGTAACTTCATGGCAGTTTTGTTTTAGGGATTGAACTGACCTCAAGTCCTGGAAGGTGGTGAACTGCTGGCTGTGGAAACGAAATGAGAGGATAAATTAGAAAAATGGGATAAATGGGAAAAGTCTGATTTTAGTCCATAGTTAGACCAAAGTTTCTGTAGGCTTCAGTTGTTATTCACATAGAAACTAGATGAACGCTGATCTCTAATGTTGCAATTTTAAGGATTCTGTTGTAATTGCATATAATCTCAGCTAGGGGGAGCAGTAGGGGTTTAATAAAAGGGGCAGAGAACAAAGCCTTGAGGAACCTCAGATCAAAATTTATAATTTTTGTTCTAATACAAACATTCGTTGATGAACTAGATGCCAAATATGAATTACTTGTCTCAGTTTTTCATTATTTTACGCTTTTTAATTGTTAACTGTGAAAGATCAACGCAGTTTGCCTCATTGAGAGAAATACTGTCTAATGTTATAAAAAAGGTGCAAAAATGTTTCAGTGACTCCTCTAAAAATAAAAAAAAAAAACGTAATTCATAATTCTTATTATTTTCTTTTTAGTTTTTTGGTACACTGAATAATTTTGTAATTAGCCCACAGGAAGATTAG